ACTTAGTCTCATCTTCTCCGGCGCAAGACCTTCTTCTGATTAAAGTAGATACGTTCGATAAATTGGGAATCGAAGTTATCGTTTCTCCGATACGGACTCGTTCAATATCATCCTTTTATATACAGGGTGTCCCAAAACTCTTGCAAGAATCGGAAATAGCTGACATGATTCTGAACAATAATTTCCTTCACAAAAAAGAAAATTGCTCCACGAGAGCATAAACTCGAGGCAGGACTGGTTGATTACACCGGGTCGCGGCATAGCCAGCTGAACGCGCGCTATTCGGCCGATGTGATTAGTCGATGTTATTCGTTAATAATTAAAAAATGAAGCCCCCACCGACATTTTTGCAAAGGGAATTGTTATTCAGAATCGTGTCAGCTACTCCCGATTTCCGGTTTTTACAGGAATTCTGGGACACCCTGTATACATAGACCGAGATAGATGCAGATGCATTCGAATCGTGAGGGATTCCAACAGGGGATACTGGCTTCGATTCTCGAAAACTTTAGCCGCGACGTCGACGAGCTAAACAAACACCGCTGAATAAGTTTGCTGGGAACTTCGGCGGTGCCAGACAAGGGATAACTGCGTATCGCAACTTTTACGATCAAGACGGGACCGCGAGAAATTCGCCGACGGGTTTATGCAAAACCCTCGCTTGGGTAACTAGAGCGGTCGCGTTTGTAGCTGCGCGTAAGTTTTAATGGGGAAAGCACCGATCAAATTCTTGACAATTGAAGATTGGACGTTAAAGAAGCTATATAATTACTATACTAACCGAAGATAAAAATTGTTTCTTTAATAAAATGTTTACTGACGGAATTGATCAAAACTAATTTTTGACATGGAGAGTCAAGCTGAAGAAACACGAGAACAGACATTGGTTTGATTCAGTTTATTTAACGCTTTGAGTGCTAAAGGAAATTTTCATACATATCCGAGAAATGCTAGAAAATTTTAAAGAAAGATGCTTGATTGTAAACAAAAATGTATATTTCGGTCAATTTTATTTTAAGATTCATGGCATTTTTACATAATACTAAAAGCAGCCGTTAAATATTACACGCATTAAGGTATTTTCGTAAAGGAAAATTGATTTTTTAACGAGTTATAGCATTTACAGCTTCGAGCAGCGATATATCGTTCTTGGCTCTTTTTGCAAGTGTATGGAGGAGCGATATATCGCTCCTTGGCACTCAAAGGGTTAATCTTGTTTTTATTCATATGTTTTGAACATTTTCGTTTAAATGCCACATTGTTCTTATTCGTGTGTGTTGAAACGTTTTTAGTTAAATACATTCGAAACAAGTTTTGATGATAAGAACGAAATATCCACTTTTGCAAATGGATTAAAATTCAAACTTAAAACGAAGAGTTACAGTACCTGTCGCGTTCGAATGGAATTTATTAAGCCGCCGTTGTCCATCCGGAGAAAGACCGACTTAGGGATAAGAAACACGTCGAGGAGTTACAGTATCGATTTATGCGGAAAAAGGTAAGACCCCAGCGAACCCCTGTTGTCCGAAAGACAGTGGACTACCATCGTAGCGGAGGTTTATTAACATCTTGAAACGCGAGGACTAGAGAAAATTCTCTACGGACCCTCGTTTGAAGAAAACGTTGTCGATTTTCGATGTTCGAGCGAGGGACCGTATCGGGAACCAGATCACCTTCGGCCGCAGTCTCTTCTCGGTGTGTCGACACGTAAAAGCTCGTTACGAGGCCCGAAGTAGGCGCATCTCGACCGTTTCCATTCCGAGCGAGCGCTATTTATTTCCCCAGGATCCCCCTGTAGCGTCTCGGCGAACCTTTTCTCGAGATTGGTATACTCCTTTGCTCTTTCCATTGTAACGAAATTCCAGCGTTTCGCGACACAGAGAAACAGTGGCGGAGGTGGGACGGCGGCTAGAGCTGTCGGGGCTTTTCCTTTAATCCGGACGCAGAGAGAAAAGAAATCCCCCAAGAGTCTCCAATGACGACGACCCGTGGAGAAATGCTTCACCTCGTCCCGTCCTTGATTCTCCATCTACTCGCTCGCCGACACTTCGCGTCCCTTTCTCGTCGCGCTTTTCTCACCCCTTATCCAACCTTGTTTTTCGTCTTTTTCGTCCCACCGGAGAAACAGACACCCTTAAAGCTTGCCCCTCTCGCTTTCACAGCCCGAGACAGGAGATTCTACTCATTTTACTTTTCAATCTTCAGGGGGATGCGATTTTCTTCCTCATTTCCAGCCTGACGATATTAGGGGAACGGCGATGGGGTCGACGAACGATCCCCAAAACGAAGGGGTTGACGCATTTGCGCGGGATTAAGATTTAGTTGACACTTTGGTTACGAGTATTACGAGGTCACCAATAATATTTTTACAGAATGGTTAGGAAATAGTTTATTAAAACATATATGAACTTAATTTAGTTTTTATGTAAGCCGTTCATTGTACAAATCGATTAACTCTATAAAACAAAAAGTTGAGGAATGTGAGGAAATAATGTACATTGTTTTTTACAATTTAAAATAAATAAACGTTTTGTGTTGTTGTTCGTTTTTATAAATTCGTGATTATCTTTCATTAAACCTAATACAATGAGTACATCGCGATGCACCACTCTTCGGCGCAACAGTATGTATACAGCCAGTCCCATGAGTATTCGTACCATCTATGTCTACTAAAAACATTTGTCTAAATTAAATGACAAGTTTGGTGTTTTCAAATAAATGTTTCATTATAAATATATACATGTGCAAAGTTTATTCACGAATGAAACATTTATTGGAATCATTGAGCCTATCATTTAATTTAGACAAATTCATTCAATAGACATAGAGGTTACGAATACTTGTAGGACTGACTGTATAAAGTAATTTCTACTTGGATAAAAATTAACACAGAATCTTGTCTTTGAATTCATCGAATTGCCTCGAATTAACCACTGGAGACCTCGTACATCGTAGTCTCTAAAGTCTTGATGCGAGCCTGGGCGCGGGGGTTGAAACTAAGAGGTATAAAGAATGCATCCGTAATCGTCCTATCACCTGTTAGCGTTAGCACGCCGTTAGGAAATTCGATTTACCGTAACGACTCGCTTCCTATCGACTATTCCGAGATTTCAACAGCAAATGGGGTTAATCTTCGATACCGTGTCTCCCAACGACGCTTATTTCTCTTTTTTTTGTGTCCGATATCTCGCTATTCGAGAACTAGTTACCGAAGAGACGCGAAATGAGTGTCGTTTGCAGTATCATTTCTGAATGCATGGAACTTCGATTGAAACGATATTTAGGGAATGTATTCCGTGGATCCGTCGTCTGTACGATAATTCCGCGCTTATAGGGGTAGCTTGCTAAAGTGTCAATTACGGAAGGAACACACTACAATATATAGATTATTTAGAAATAGATACTAGAGTCAACACATTGTTGACCGGTTACGAGTTAACTCATGTTTTCATGCCCAAAAGTTGTTGACTGGTCACGAGTAAACTCGTGTTTGAACTTGCATTATCTATTTCAATTTATGAAACTCAGGGCGATATAGAAGTGTAACGCATGAAAATTAGACGTGCAAAATGTGGTGCTAAAGTGGCTTCTCGACCAACCGAAAACCTTTTATTTGCAATGAGTACGTAAGCTTGTTGACCGTTGGGGAAAGTGCATTGATAAGGAGGGAAATTACATAGAAAAGTGACGTGCCTAGTGAAACTTTAGCTTTACGTAAATAAATTATAGAATGAAAAGTGTAGATAATTTTTGACTTTTCTCATAACAGCCGGTGACATGAAGTCGCTTCTGTGTAAAATTGCCGGTCAACAATGTGTTAATACAACGTTAAAATTTTACCTCAAATCTCAATCTCTACCTCTTCCAAAAATGGGTCAGTAACCTTTACTTGAGTTACGACTTTTCCTCGTAAAATTCGTAGACCGCGATCACTCCTCAGGCTGCTACGAGCTTCTCAAAAGTCTTAGCCAAATTATCGAAGCGATTCGAGGATCCACAGATTATCGCTCAAACGGCGAAAGTTTCGCGGTGGCAGTTAGGAAATCGTACCCTAAGCCGCACGCAATTTCGACGATGGGGATATCTTAGGGTTGGGTGTCTTTAGTTTTACCACCATGGTGTCTCGATTTGGGAAATTAGACTCGGGCACACCCTTCCGGTAGCCCCTTTTATTAGCGAATCCGACTTAACTCGACGCCGCGCACCAGGTCGCGTACATCGTCAGACGAGCAAAGCGCAAACTATGCGCACCGACGCACGATTATACTTAGCGTAAAGCGATTATTCCGCTGAAGCTACTCCCACGAGCCAAGGAACTACTAAGCCGGCTATCCTGTCTCGTCTGAATCCTCCCGAGACCCGACGAGAAAATCCTGTCGGAGAGATAAACGGTTAAGGAAGTAAGTGTTCCTGCAAACAGTGCGAGACGGACAGTATGAAAGATGCAGCAACCGGGCCGCGTCTGCGGAGCAGAGTCCAAGAGGGTTGTTCGCCGAATAACTACTATTCAAGTATTTTCAAGTATCGATAAACTGGAGATTATTCGTTCTCTGTGTCGAGGAAACGTGAACACACGCGAGTCTAAAATAACTAGGATCTGCAAACGTAAAAATACTTCTCCTAAATTTTGTTTAAAAGGAGAATTTTCCAAGCGCGTGTCTCCGCGAATTTTTCATTTATTACTCCAGATCGCGGCTGCCACGAACCAAATTCATTTAACTCTAATTTATATATTCCCTAGTTAGGAAGAACGGGCAATTAAAAGTCGCTCGTAAATTCCTCCAGCTCTGACAAAATGAAGGGAAAGGAAGAGTTATGCCCGCGGGTTGAATATTCCAAACAGCATCGAGGCTCGAGCAGCCATTTATTATCGGGCGTGCAATCGATCGTAAGACAATGCGTCGTCCAAAAATCAGGGATTCGAGCAGATAACGCTGACGGACGGTGACGCGATTCGAATCGCAATAATTTCCTGGAAAATAATTTGCATGCAAACTCACCTCCAGTACGTGCTCCGCTTGATTCTCCCGATCGAGTTTCCTGCCGCTGGTCGTGATCAAACCTGAAACATAATCGTGCCAAGGATTAGACGGCATCGACGTGGCTTAATAAATCTTGATTAAACGGTGTTTCAATCGAGGTATCCCTGGCGACGTTTCATTCCCGATTCGACCGGTAAACCGACGTTGCTGAACGAGTCGGAAGACAATTTTCCGCAGCAATTTGAAACGGAATGAAAAGGCCTCGATTAGCGGAGACAAAGATTAGCTCGATAGAACGGACTCGACGAAATTATAGCGTTCAGATGCTATTGGACGGTAGTCGAGCGCGCTCGAACTTCCCTCTCTATTCTTTTCGCCGGCCGTTCGTATTTTCCCTTTGCTTTGTGTTTCACTCGACGATCGGTCTCAACGCGACGGGTTTCCCAAAACGTGGTGAAAATTTCAACAGTCAAGTTATAGTTTTCACAGAAAGTTTCAACAAGTGTAGTTACGATATATTGTAAGGAAACTTTGGTTTTACATCTAATGCAATTCATGAATTAAATGAAAAAGTATGTGGACTAAATCATTATCAAATAATTTCAATATTGACAGAACCACTAAGTGAAAAATATTAGTTTGCACAGTTTCTGGCAGAAGAGAATATTTTTCAATTTATATTCAATTTTTTATATCAATTGTTTGAAATTGACCACTGGGAATAAGTGAATCACTGTTTAGGAATATATACTTCAACTTTACTTTTAGTAGTTGATACAGTAGTACATTAAATTTTAGTAGTTGCCACCCCATGTGTAGCAATAAACAAAACGGATTCGAGTTTTGAAAGAAATATCAAAAAATCATCCGAGTACATTCTAAAAAGAATCAAATTCTACATAAAAGAAGTTCTCTAACCTTCCTCGTTATCTTCTAAACTAAAGCAGAAAAATGGAATTTTATGAATGAGACAAAGTCTGAAAATATAATACAAGTATATACAAAATTCAATGTTATACAATCATGATCAATAGGTGCAATTCAGTCTTTTTAATTTGGCGGCAAATTGCTTTCCCGACGCTCGATTTCAGCGCTTTTCTTCTTTGTGGCAACGGTTCCGGGGGTAGCGATGAGGAAATTTCAATGTAAGAGTCTCCGCAAGCATCGGGAATAACTTTTCCGCGTAGACGGCGGAAGACCTTGCCGGATGCGGACGGTTTCCGGAGCTTTCGAACGAAACGTTTCTGAAAGCGACGTTGCGGAACAAGAACGAAGCCCCTGAAATTGCGCCCTGGCGCGCTGGCGGCCGCGAGCACATTTTTTCGCCCCGGTTTCTACGGCTTCCGGTAACAACGACAAACGGCGCAGATTTTATATTCCAGCAGGAAGTACTAATCATGTTACCAGGGAAGCCGTGTCCCTTGGCCGTGCTAGAGAGTCTCGTTTGTCTCTGACGCTGCGCAGAAACGCAGGGAATCCCGAAACTCCTGTTTCGCGGACTCATTAGAACTAGGGGGAAGACCTCCCTTTCATGGAGGCGAATTACGCTACTCTTCTACTTACGCTGCTGATTTCGGAGATTTTCAAGCAAGTCGAACCACACGAATCGCAGGAACTATGAATTCTTGTCGTGAAAGATGTATTGGCTACGAACAATGTTGACTTTTCAACGTTTTCGACAAGTATACAGGCTTTTTCTGATCTTATATGAAGTAAAGATTGTTTCTCTATACTAATATTATAAAGAAGTAAAGTTTGTTTGTGTGGGGGTAATTTCTGGAACTATTGAATCGATTCTAAAAATTTGTTCGGTAAGAGAAAGTCACGAAGGAACACGCAGTTGAATAGTCAGTCGAATGCAAACAACATAAAATAAATAGTAATCCACATGGGTGAAATCGCGGGGTGCAACTAGTATATCGTAAAATTTACGACCTATTTACTTGAGACCTATAACCACCGACCTATAACCACCTATAACTTTTATTATTTTTGTCCAATCAAGATGGAATTTTGTGTAGTTGCTTTTTATGCTTCGTTTGGAAGCGTAGGCTTCCGAGAACATTGAATTTCATGGAAAAATTATTTCTTCGCCTTAGCCACTTCTTTGGAGGAATTGAGTTACTCGTGAAACTTCTATTCGCCCAGTGTGAATTTGTCAAGTTTTCAGTCGCGACGAGATCGATGCGGCGTTCTTGAAACGCAACCGTGCAATTTTTTCGCCAACTCGATCGACGTCCTCGAACTCCTTCCAGCGACCATAAAGCCGATTAAATCGACATCGCGCTGACCTCAAGATTTCTCCGATTCGTTCGTGACAAACTCTAATAACCGTAATAATAAGATTTCTCGGGTCAGGTAGGGTGCCACTGATCGACTTCGGTGGACGAGGTGACGTACAAGATTTTCGGAGATCGGTTCCATCAGCCATTAAAAATTTGTCTCCAAGGTATACACTTTTATAAATTTCTACTATTAAAAATATCTAATTAAGCTCCTCTATACTATAAATTTAACAACGTGCTTTCGTCTACGTTTCATTTATTCGTCTTGATCCTCTAAGACGAGGAAAATAAACCTCCCGATATAACGACCATCTAAAGGCAATGTTTAAATTAATATTTATAGCTTGCCTCCCAAAATAATGTTTCATAATTTAAAAAAAATACTCAATGTCTACTAACAATTATTCTGTACTTGATCTTTTTACAATGGTCTTCCTGGGACATATTACGGTTGTTCTTCAAATTAAAACAAATAGGTGTGGAGTACGTTCACAAATTTCGCTACACCCTCCAGACACACAGCCCACAAGAGGTGGAAAAAGGGAAACGGAGAAAAGCGACGCACAGAGGGAACGCGAGCACAAGGCTCTGTGTGGTGGAACACATTTAAATAATTGCTTTTTCGTTCTCATTTCTCGCCCTCGTCGTGTCGATGATGTCGGTGGCGTCGTTGCTGCCTCGATTCACCTGTGCGCGTCGGCGACCACCCCTCACCCTTTCACTGGAAAATTCGTTATTGGAAATCAGAGCGGAACGACAAAACTATTCGCGATATTACCAACTGTCCCGATACTCCTGCCTCGTTCTTGATATCCAGAAACTGGATCTCAGTGACGAATTATGCCTTCACGAAGCCCCAGGATAAGATAAAAATCCCATTTAAAGAAAAGAAAACAACGAAATGCTTTTTAACAAAGTATTTCTAAGTACCGTGACCTATTGCGGCTTTATTAGAGGGTGCAACTGAAGGTACAATTTTAGTAATGATGTTACCGTAATTAATCTTTTAGCCTGTAACAACGTGTGAGGCTCGTGATATAGAATTTAAGTCGAACATAAAAAGGACCCGTTAAACACGTCGTATGGAAGTGCGTAAAGAATTTGATACCTGACTATGACACGCATGGTCTTACAGTAAATCGTAGGCCAAAGGGATAATGAATTCTTAGGGGTGCTGATAACACGCTACTGGTCGTTTATTACGCATCGATCCTGCTACGAGGAGTTCGACGCATGGCAACGGATCGTGTTGAGTTTATTTTTGTTCCTGTCGCTTCCCAGCGGATGTAACCGGGACGTTCTAGACGAAGATATCTCGACCGCGAATTTCCAGGCCCCTCGGGAGAATATTTTATGACGGACGGTGAAAAGCACACCGTGGAAAAACCGTAGGACCGACTTCGTGCAATCTTCCCTCGAGACAATTCTTTACTTCCGTCAGATGGTGCGTTGGTAGCTTCGACTCTTGGATCCTTCGCGGGATTGAACACGGATCTTTTTCAGTTTCGCGTGATATTTTCTGAAAATACTTGGCGTTAACGCGTTGGATAGGAGTGTTACGTGACTAGAATGGAGCAGTGTTTTTCAAACTTTTTTGACTTGTGGCCTTCTTGCCTCTTATGACCGATGCTTCGTGAAAATAATATTACACTTTTTCTTTATTCGTGATAGGTGAAAATTGTAAAAATTATTACATCCTGATTTAAGGTTTCATTGTTTTATTTTGTCACACCCTGTACTTTATTATTATTGAATACGGTTTGTTGTAATCGTTAATATTTGAAAGCGTAGATTTACGAATCAATTAAGCACCTTTTATTAAAAACTTATAATCTAAATATATTATATTTGAGCTTTACGAACTACATGGTAAAAAAGCGTGTGCCACTTACGGACATAAATCTACCAACTAAACGAGGTTCTCTTATTATTCAACCATACGATGCGTGCGCACTCACACGCACACTTGCTTACATATATACATATATCATAGAAATTACATGTATTTCAACAGTAATGTTCATGTTCCCGTGAATATTTTCAAGAACAAAATCCATCAAATTAAACTAGAAATGTTTCAGCGTAACTTCCAAGTCACTAATAAAACATCGAGATGTGATCAGCAGGAACCAGATCAATCATAAAGTTTGGCGGTAATGCGTGAGAGAGCACGCGAAAATTCGCCGAGTTTGGAAGCGTTTAAAGCCACAGGAACCTCGTCAAAGTTGTTTGCATTCCTTCCACAGGGATAATATCCACTCTCGACGCTAAACTAATTCCGTAATTGCGAGTCGGAATTAGTAGATAGATTTAATGGAAAGAATTACTTCTCATCACGTTGTAATTTATCATCATAATCTTCCCTCGGGCATATTTCTGTTACAGAATTATCCTCGTTCTCGGAACTACAATTTCTATTTCACGATTGGACGAATTTGTTTGTCAACTAAGAATATTTTTATGTTTAGATATTTTATAATGCTTCAAAATTTTGTATTTTAGATTAGAACGAGGGTGAATTTTTATATGTACATATTAATTTCGAGTATAATAGAGTATCCTTGACGCAGATTCAATCGTACAGCAAGGCAGTGTCGTGTTTAGGTATGCAAAACGATCATCTTGGCCTGGCGAGCGTCAAAGGCGGAAAATTCGTACGAGATCGCGACGGAGTGAAATTTAACGAGCGTCGTTGCGGCAGTGCGGCCGCCATTAATACCCGTGTATGAGAATCGAAACAATTGCTACCCCTTCGACGTGTACGTATTGTTTTGAATTGCAAATGCGTCGCGCGA